GACAGATATGAACGTGAAGTCACATTCTGTCCCTTTCTTTACTGTACACAATTCCCTTGTCATTCCAGGACTGGAGCAATTAGGCAACACAAGGCAATAGTTGTGTTTGGTACGGCTGACTGCGTTTGTGCTCCCGCCGTACCCCACAGCCTTATGGGTAAAAAGAGAGGAAGTAGAATCTCTGCTCCTTCTCTCTGTCTGATTTTTATTCTTTGACGATAGAATCTGGTTCGATTCCGTGTTCATTTAAGCTAAATAAAGTCGTTTAAAAAATTTTTGTTGAAATGTCTCGCATTAAGCGTTTTATTTTGAAAAACCACGACTTCCTCCCGGGCGTCAATTAATCCTCCGACTCATTCTGTGTCATGGTAAGTTGATGTTGGTGTTTAATCATTCCTCTATTGATTATTTCACTTTTAAACTTCATACCATGTACTTTTTAATATTTATATATATTTTATATATATATTATAAGAGCAGTTTTTTTACTCCGCCCCCTCTATCCGGTCCGCGGAAAATCTTTCCGATATGAAACCGATCTGCGCAACAAAATGTAAACCCTCGCAAGGTTGATATCGATCATTTATCCACAATTAATTGTTTCAGGTTTGACAAGGTCGTTTTCCTCCAATCGCCAGAATTAGCAGGTGTTTGGTCTCCTTTACCACCAACGAAGGCCACGCTCACACGGCTGCGAAGCGCGGACCGAGCACGAGAAAAATCCACGGCTCCACGGTGTCGCCTGACGTCCGCCATTGCTGTCGTTGTGCCGTTGAGCAGGACTGACCGCGGTGAAAGGTAAAAGTTAATCTGAAGTTCATGGCGTTCTTTATGTTTTATTCTTATTTGGGGAACACATTATTAGAACTTTATTCCCGCTGTTCCACACTGGTCTTAGCTTGATTTTATCATACATTTACCCCCGGAGAAATCACAATAGGAGAAATGGCAGACTTTAACGTGAACAAAGTCAATGTTTAATGGATTTTTAGAAAGGAAGGAAAAAAAAAACCACCCAGGCATGACTTTATTACTGCTGCTCATCTGGTATAATCTGGACTCAAACAGGTAATGATTTAGTTTTGTACCTGCACAGGCGCGTTGTCTTGTCCCCCCTTGCCCCCCCCCCCCCCCCAAACCCCCAGGATCAATAAACTCATATAAACCTCACCTGGCACACCTTTAGTGAGCCGACATGCAGAGTGGATAATGGCTAATGATTTAGTAAATCTTGTAGTTATTTATGACACTCGCCTTTGTTTATTAAAAGCCGGACGTGGAAGCGAAGGTGGTCATAAATTAGCAGGCAGTCACAGCAGAGTGCACGGCCTGGAAACAGCCTTTAAATTCACTCAGATATCTTTGAGTGTCTGCTGCGGCAGCGGGGAAAAAACAAAACAAAAAACCAAGCTCTTTCTACTGCGTGAGATGATTTCTTCATCCACACACGCTGTAGAAATACCATCAGTCTGTTCAAATGACCGGACCCCCCTCCCCCTCCTCCCCCCCGCTGCTGCAGGAGGGTGGGGGGGGGTCCACGTGCAGATTCTATCGTTGACCGTACATTGTCTTGGACACGCAGCAAGTGCGGACGCTGAGGTGCTGTCCAGCAGGGCCGTAATAATGTGCTATGTTTGGCTGTTCCGGAGCTTTCTTCAAATGACCAGACTAATGGTGCAGACACCCTGGTGTCCATTAAGGAGGCTGCAGCCACAGTCTGTATCACAGTAATGACCTATAGATTCTGCTGCTGCTCCTGTAGCTGTACGTAATTGGACTCACACACACACACACACACACACACATTAACGCTCATCATCCCTCCTTGTCGTGGAGTACGACCAGATCCTCTGACTTTACCTTCCATCTGTGTTTTACCTACTGGTGATGCAGCAGTGTATCATGGGAATTGCTGAAGGCACATTGGTCGTGCGTTAGCCGCACGGGGTCTTCAGGTGTAACGTAGAACGTTCACTTTCATTTATTTATTTTATACTTTTCTTGTTCCGCGGTGTAGCAAGTTCAAAATATTGCTCCGCTGCGCCCCCTCTATCCGGTCCACGTAAAATCTTTCCGATATGAAACCGATCTGCGCCACAAAATGTAAACCCTCACAAAGTTGATATCAATCATTTAGCCACAAAGTGGTTATGTTTATACTGTGCTAACAGTTTGTAGTGTAGCGAACTGTTAGCACAAAAAAGTCCCAAGTTTTGGATCAATCAAATTGAAAATATTATTATTGTTGTTGTTGTTATTATTATTACTACTTTTCACTAGGTGGCAGCAGGTGGCTGTGAAACTTGAAGAAGATCTTAGCGTCCTTCAATTCCTGCAGATTTATCAGCGTTTGTTACAGGTTCCACTCTGTCACTGAATGTTAACTGGAAGAACAGATGTTTTATATTATTTATATGTTTTCTTTGACATTTTTATTTGGTGGTGATTTTTCTGAAGGTTGGTAAACTCTGCCTTGAACGACGATCGTGGGGGGGACGGGGGGACGGGGGGGGGTTAAAGTCACTGGTCTAATTTGGTCGTTCTCACGAAGCTCCAGTAAACGCTAACCTCCGCAGCGACCCACGTTGTGCATTCATGAGGGTGATTTTGTGGCACATAAACAGCACTTTCGAAAGGGCACTTTAGTGGAAACATTTCTGTGCAGCTGATTGGACGTCGTGCAGCACGTTAACTGGATTAACCTTTTCTGTCTTTGCGCTGACACACAGTCTCCGTGTCCTCTGGTGTATTTGTCCTCTGTCTACTGTAGGGGGTGTAACAATATTATAACTTGAAGAAGATCTTAGCGTCAAGAATTTTTTTTTTTTTTGTGTTTGCGATACGATGTCATCACATTTTTTTAACGTGATCTCCAGTCAAACTGTGATCAAATCCACTGATCTCTGTCAGAACTGGGTCAAATCCCATCACCAACTGACCTGGTCTGTGAACCTCACCAACTGACCTGGTCTGTGACCCTCGTCAACTGACATGGTCTGTGAGCCTCGTCAACTGACATGGTCTGTGAGCCTCCCCAATTGACATGGTCTGTGAACCTTGTCAACTGACATGGTCTGTGAGCCTCCCCAATTGACATGGTCTGTGAACCTTGTCAACTGACATGGTCTGTGAGCCTCACCAACTGACCTGGTCTGTGAACCTCACCAATTGACATGGTCTGTGAACCTCACCAACTGACATTGGTCTGTGAACCTCACCAACTGACATTGGTCTGTGAACCTCACCAACTGACATGGTCTGTGAGCCTCGTCAACTGACATGGTCTGTGACCCTCACCAATTGACATGGTCTGTGAACCTCATCCACTGACATGGTCTGTGAACCTCATCCTCAACCTCATTGTTCTCTTCAATAACAGAAGAGAAAAAAAAAAACTCCCATTAGCAAGTCCCGACCGACGTGTTTGGGAGCATACTGCCACCTGCTGGACTGGAGTGTGTAGTGTCATGGTCTGACCAGTGACTTTTTCAGATGACTCGGTCGACTCCTCACGCCTTGATGCGAGATTAGTTTCTTTTATTGCAACCGATGACAGTTGTAACGCATTTGTAACGATGGTAACCGGTTCGGGGTCCATGGTAACACACCTGGTCTGTAGCCGTCCTGTACCGTCGTCGTTTCCTAATATTCCTTTACCTCGCCGCTATGCCCCCCCCCCTGTTTAGCCCCGCCCCCTTTCGTTCGCTCATGTGGAATGAAATAATATGATAAAAAAAAATTTTAAAAAAAGTGTTCAGCTCCCCTCCACCCACTTTATACCCCCGCCCCCCCCCCCCCC